GCTCTGTGGCGTCTGTCTCTGACCTATCAATTGCTTCTGTCCTGTCTGTGGCGTCTGTCGAATCCATCGAACTATCCATATCCCAACAATACGAACAATCTGTAGTATCCGTAGCTGCAGTCATGTCTCAATCCAGAGCGTCCGTTTCTCTATTATCCGAGGCTTCTGTGGCTTCTGTAGCTTCAGTATCATCCATATCTCAAGCCGCCCTGACAACGGTGAGTGGTTTTGTAACAAAGCTATTTATCACTGACGCACCTTGTATAGTCCTCTACTCCACCTGAGATCAAACCCATTAATAATGGACCAAGCAAGACTCAGGCAATCGTTGGAGGCACCATCGGTGGAGGTGTGGCTGCTATTTTGTTAGTGGGGCTAACCATCTGCGTGTGTCTGCGTAGAAGAAAGTCTCCCTCTCCTGTCATCATACCTCCAATTTCTCCACCAATGGATCAGCCCACATACTCGCCAGGGCCCTCGCCGTATACCGGTCATCCTGGGGTCACACCAGCATTGGTCTATGACGAGCCTACGCGTCCAAGTATCGCGCACCAATCAGGATTCGGTATGCCAATGTGGCTGGAGCATAATAATGGTGATACGCATACGCGACCTCTTAGTATGTCATCGTCTTCGTCTCCACCACCAGGTGGTAATATGCCCCTCTATCCGTCGAACGTTGCATCATTCTATGAGCCGACCAGTCCACATACCAAAGTGGTTAGTGAGGAGTCCGCCATTAAGGGTGAAGATGGGAAGTGTGTCGAAGGGTCAATCGATGCAAGAGCTGTGGAATAATTGGAATGCTGTATCGGGAACGACAGAGATAGCATGAAATGTAGTATGAATGACCTATGCAGATCCCAATGGTATCAGTTTTCGCTTGCTAATTTACCAATGTATATTCAAGATCGTAAGACTATGTTCCGACGGGTGAGGACCTCGTGAGCTGACAACGAAACTGTGCGGTGGCTCCCAAAATGTAGACAAAAAGGTGGAGATGGTCGTATAATCACGATTCAATACAACAAGTTTTGATTTTTTTAATCAAGATGTATCGAGGATGAATCAGTGGTCTCTTGGGCACTGCCATTGATCTGAGTCCTTTTCATTACCAGTCTATTCTGAACTTAGTACAATCATTAAATGATAATGATTGGTACACACATCCTTGAAGGGGAAACAAACTGGTATCGTGTGCTGGGTCTGGAGATGGACGCCACCCAACAACAAATCAAACGAGCGTATCATCTCGCACTACTCCGCTACCATCCAGACAAGAATATACCTGCATCAACGGATCAAAAACTCGTCAACTCCTCGACAAGTCCTCCGTTGGAGGTCCACACATTGCGGCAGGCCTTCGAAATTTTATCCAATCCAGATTCTCGCCAGGTTTACGATGAGCAGTTGCGATATTCGACCTTGTCTTCCAATACAGGTTCTAAAGAGGGGCCACGTCCTGCTCATATTGTCTCCTTAGATGATTTTGAACAACGAGACGGCCCAGAAGGATCTAGTGAACCCACTCAGTGGGCTTATCCTTGTCGATGTGGAGGCAGTTTCATCATCACCGAGAATCTCTTAGAGAGTGATGTTCACCTCATCAGCTGTGATGCGTGTTCAGAGGCACTCTGGGTGGGCTATGAAGTCCAAGACGAACCTTGAGGCCCTCTGCCTTCTCTGAAGGATATTATGCGACCAATCAAGTACAATTGTCGACTTTATCAAATCGGCGGACCAAGTTTCATTGGGTCTTCAGTACTTTGGCGCGCATTGTGTCGTTTCGACGTCCTATCGTGTCCAAGAATAGGGTAGGATCATTCAAACAGTCAAGATTATCACATCCGGATCACCGGATCCCCTTTCTTTCACCGCTGGAATGGTCTCACTCTGCACCGCGAAACACGGAGGTCAACCATGGTGAGAGTCGTGGGCATGAGGCGCCCGCGTTCTCTTCTTGACGTCATGAACTCAAGAGCTCGAAATAGATGCTTGGTATCATACCGGCGAGCTTGTCGTTCGGTTTACAGAGTCTTGGAGGAGTGGCTTGATGGCAGTTCATTGCATAGTCTTTAAATAATGCCACCCAAAATTGGTCCAAATTCCGTGACATACGGATATAACTCAGAAAAATACGAAATACATTCTATCTTGTTTAATATTTGAGTGGGCATTGCCGCTCGGCTGAGGTCGAAACCAGCATTCAAAAGTGTGCCAATTCAGAAAAACCTTCTCAACTGCCATAAACAGTTCCCGTAACTCATGGAAGCATAGCATTCAGGATTGTTTTTATCTTTTTAGGAACTCCGAGAGGTCGACCAGGTGCCGGAAGTGACCGGCGAGCGCCCGGTAGGAAGATTGTTCAAGCACGCCATAGCGAAGTCTGGCCAACATGGCAATTTGTAACCCGGTTCAACCTCGTTAATAATCCATTATGCAGGGTGTTGGTTTCGTCAGCATCAAATGCGAGCCTTATCAATCACACCGCTGACAAATAACCACATTAGCCACTCGTTCGCCCTATAAAAGAAGCAGAGAGAGGTCACTTTCGACATCATCCAAAGCATCCCCACCGTCGCAGCTTCTACTGTATTCTCAGCCTCATCTTGTACAACAGCTATGGCTCAAGTTTCCTACAAGACAGTCCCAAACACCTACGATTTCTTCTCTCTCAATGAACCATCGATTGGTTCCGCGCTCACACCTGTGAGTTGATACTATGTTCGAATGCAAGATCAAACCGGAACTAACTAGAGGTAGCAGACCGACAGTACTCCAAAGCTCTTCAAGCCACTTACCATCCGTGGAGTCACTTTCAAGAACCGCATCTGGGTTGTAAGTATCAAATGATATATCCATTAGATTCATATTGATTTGGTTTGCAGTCGCCAATGTGCCAATATTCCTCTGAGGATGGTAAAGCCACCGACTGGCATCTAGTACATCATGGAGTATGTCAAATGCATTATTCAAGTCGATGAGTTCTCTTATCACTTCTCAGGGATTTGCTACTCGTGGTGCTGGCTCCATCATGGTAGAGGCTACCGCTGTCGTCCCAGAA